CCCCCGATAAAAACCAATCCTTGTGAATATCCATAGCTGATCACTAAATGAAACAATAACATAAATTACCTTACTCTTATACGGGAGCATCCGATGGCTATTCCCTTTCGCTAGCTCCTCTGTCGTCACCTACTCCTTCTCGATTCGCTCATCAGTCGAGACTCGGAACTTCCAAACAACGGACATACCGCAAGAAACGAGGTTTATGAGATGATGAAATAAAAATAAATAAAATAAAATATGTAAATCACCCTGAATAATCCCCACCTGATTTACAGTGAGGATGTTGCCTCCTCACTTCCAATATTAACAATTTTTTATTACTCATATTACCCCTTCCACCGCACCTGGAAAATTCACCCTCTTCTCCCACCATTCCATTTCAGGACTCTTTCCCCACTCTCAACTTATCCCCATCAAACCTCCAGAGATCCTTCACCCTCGACACACTGGCGTCAGATTTTACCTCCACCACCGAAAAATAGGCCACACCCTGTCTTACGGTAGCTGTACATATACTACTAATATACTTTTTACATACTTTTTAAACATACTTTTACATTTAAAAGGATCTAATCTTTTCTTTTAGATAAATCATTTGTTTTCGTATACAGATACATCATATGTATATCATATACAATACGAAACGTCTCTCAGTCAAAGTAAAAGTGGCGCAGGAGATAACGACTCAAGAACCAGAGGTCTCAGGTTCTCCGCAATTGGTAAATAAATTTTCAAAGTACAATTTACATTGAATTAAGTAGCGTGTGAAATATTAAAGTGAAAAATTTGAGAAAAATTTAGGAAAAAAGAAATTTTATGTAAATGTATATATTTCAATAAATATTTTTATAATATTTATGATAAATATTTTTATAATATTTATGATAAATATTTATCATCTATTGAATCTAAGGTCACAAAAATATTTTAGTAAATATTTATAAAATATTCATTTAAATCATAAGTATTTTGTAAATGTTTTATAAATATTTTGTGCTGTCTGAGAATGGATAGGACGCGTATACGCATTTGCAGGCAGAAACGGACAGGATGCCTGTACGTATTTACTGTTAGAAACGGATAGGAATCGCAGTTATACAGGGTGGGCCATTTTAATTTATCCAGCCGAATATTTCGAAAACTAAGACCAGCAGACAATAAATGTTTTAGACAAAAGTTATATGGATCCATGGTGGATATAAGAAGATACATTATTTTGACCTTACGTGGCCCCGCCAAGGTCAGGTCAAGGTCAACTTTGCTTTTTTAAATAGAAATATGCATTTTTTAATACGGAATTTTATTCCACGTAAAGAAGCAAACAACTTTTATTTGAAAACATTTTTTATCCGACCTTTATTTTCTTAGATATTTACAGAAATATTTACAAAATTATTGGTTTCAATAATATTACCCGAATTCTATGAAATTTACCGAAAAATAGCGAGAGATAAAAATTGTGTTTTCTTCTCGTAGAGCTCTGAGAATTTTTCCAAAATTTTTTAATTAATTTTTTAGTACTTCAAGAAAATGCAAGGAAATACAGTACAAAAAGTTAATAAAAAATTCTGAAAAAAATTTCAAAGCTCTATGAGAAGAAAATAGATAATTTTTATGTTTTGCTATTTTTCGATAAAATTAATAGAATTCGAGTAAAAAATTATTGAAACCAATAATTTTGTAGATATTTCCATAAATATCTTAGAAAATAAAGGTTGGATAAAAAATGTTTTAAAACAAAAGTTGTTTGCTTCTTTACATAGAATAAAATTCCGTAATAAAAAATATATATTTCTATTTCTATTTCCGTAATAAAAAATGTATATTTATATTTTTATTTGAAAAGCAAAGTTGACCTCGACCTGACCTTGGCGGGGTCACGCAAGGTCAAACTGTAACGATCCGTCTAATCACATTTACGAACATAGGCAAACTTAACGGCTCGCTAAAATGTAATACGCGACCAACAAATGTAAACATCGCCGACCGACCACGAAAATCAATAACACCGAAGTACACCAAAATCGGTGTGTAAAAAACGACGCGAAAATCTCGAAAGCAAGCAGTCTTCCGAGGCACACCGCTGAACGAAGTCAAAGCTCCGACAGCAGAAGCTCCTCTCGAACACCGCTGCCAAAAGCACCACATCCTAGATCTTCCTCGATACCGCTCCGTCGACTCGTTGGATTCGTAGAGTCGACATCCTGGTAGACTTATTGGATACGTAAAATCTACATTCTTGCTATCACTCCGCCGACTCGTTGGATACGTAGAGTCGACTTCCTCGATACCGCTCTGTCGACTCGTTGGATTTGTAGAGTCGACATCCTAGTAGACTTATTGGATATCTAGACTCTACATCCTTGCTACCGCTCCGCCGATTCGTTGGATACGTAGAATCGACATCCTAGTAGACTCATTGGATACGTAAAGTCTACATCCTTGCTATCGCTTCGTCGATTCGAGGGATACGTAGAGTCGACTTCCTCGATACCGTTCCGCCGACTCGTTGGATACGTAGAGTCGACATCCTCGTAGACTTATTGGATACGTAAAGTCTACATCCGTAATACCGCTACGTTGACTCGTAGGGCTGACATCCGCTGTCAGATACGAAAGGTTTACACCCGAAACACCGCTCAACCGCCCGACGAATTCCGAATCGTCGGGAGTCGCATCCGCACAATGCGATGTCATAAGAGACCTCTCAAGAGCGTACCCACGCGCTCGAGGGACCGCCAGACCGAAATCGTCCTTGTGCACCGTCTACCGAGGCAAGGCATCGCAATGCCCTGAGTCCGCGATACTGCACCCGCTAGATACGTGCGGGCAATGCCAAACCGTGACGGCTCGACCGCTGCACGGTATCACGCATTTCGCTACCTGTAAATCTCTCGCCGAATAACGGATCTCGTCGCGACAAGATTTGAAGGCCCAAGCATAAGCATCTCGCCGTCAGCGCGAGACAATGCATCACAACACCGACCGCATCCTGCGGCCGCAAGCGGCCCCGGCGTTTACGAACCGTTAGCGATAACGTAAACAGATTCACACGGCAAACAAAAACTCGACCATCAAACCAACGGCGTTGAGAAATCTTGTAAATACGCATTATACATAGCCATCTGAGTTGGAATAGATATCATATTAATACTTATATCACTATCTACACATTTATTACATCTGCCACGAATCCGGACCGCACCGACCGCAGCATATCCCGCACCGAACGCAAATAGCGTTACAAAACCAATGGTACCTTCTTATGTCCCCCATCGATCCATATAACTTTTGTCTGAAACATTATTGTCTGCCGGTCTTAATTTTTGAAATATTCGGCTGGATAAATTAAAATAGCCCACCCTGTATATCCGTTTTGCAGAAACCAATAGATTATGAACATATTCTATCCGTATCTGTCCGTAATTATAGTAAACGCGTAGTAAAGCAAACAGAAACGGATAGGGTGCGTTTTCTGTCCGCAATTTTTACTAGGGCAAATATATAATATACTGTTTCTGATAATAAATATAATTTTCATTCATAAAATGATTGAAATCAAGCATATGACCAAACAAGGTAAAATTAGCCTATAATTAAAGGCCGGAATAGAATCCTTTCGAGCAGGAACTATTAATCAGGATATTAGGTGGTAAACTTAGTTCCTGCGGTTCACAGTTAGATGACGTTAGTTGTAGGTGTAATTTATTTTAACATCTGAAACTGGCTGCATTTTAGAGGTTAGACATTTGTCAATAAAATTCAGTGCGAAGAGATTCATTTAAGCTAGCAGTGCTATTTTTTCTTTTGATTAAATATGGAACGTGATAAGTTGTTTTTTCGACATGTGCTGCTTCATTACTTTGACTTGAAAAAAAACTGCAGCTGCAGCTCATAAATTGCTTTTCGAAGCTTATGGCAATTATGCTCCATCGGAAAGAACATGCCAAGTATGATTTCAGCGATTTAAGAGTGGTGATTTTGATGTCAATGATAAAGAACGCTCAGGCCAACCGAAAAAGTTTGAAGACACCGATTTGCAGGCATTATTGGACGAAAACTCTACTCAAACGCTCCAAGAATTGTCTGCAGCATTAAATGTTACTCCGATGGCTGTTTCCAAACGTCTACATGCAATGGGAAAAATTCAAAAGGAGGGAAAATGGGTACCACACGAATTAACCGCAAATGCCATTGCGAATCGCTTAAACATCTCTATTTCTCTGCTCGCCAGGCAGAAAAAGAAGAGTTTTTTGTGGCGCATAGTGACTGGCGATGAAAAATGGATATACTTCGATAATCCTAAACGAAGAAAATCATGGGTAGACCCTGGCCAACCATCGACATCCACACCAAAGAGAAATATTCATGGCCACAAAGCAATGCTTTGCATTTGGTGGGATATGCACGGCGTCGTTTATTATGAGCTACTCAGACCGAACGAAAGTATCACGGGGGATCGATATCAATCACAATTAAACCGTCTGAATGAAGCATTGTTGGAAAAAAGGCCAGCAGTAGCCAGCAATCGACGTAAAGTCATGCTTTTGCACGACAACGCTCGACCACACGTTGCCAAAGCCGTCAAAGAAACACTGATGCAGCTCGAGTGGGAAGTTCTCCCGCACCCAGCGTATTCACCAGACTTAGCTCCTTCGGACTATTACTTGTTCCGGTCGATGCAGCACGGCTTGGTGGATACACACTTCAGAAATTACGAGGATGTGCGAAAATGGATCGACGAATGGATTGCATCAAAAGACCAATCGTTCTATCGTCGCGGAATCTACGCGTTGCCCGAAAGATGGGAAAAATGTATAGCTAGCGAGGGAAAATACTTCGATTAATGTATTTTTTGATGTCGAAATAAATGAGTTTTTTAAACAAAAAAAAACCGCAGGAACTAAGTTTACCACCTAATACATATTTTATATGTAGCCTTCTTATCACTA